GACTCTGACGAGCTGCCTACAGATCCCCTTTGAGAAAACCCTTCCGATCCTTCCTTGAAGAGCCCTCTCCCGCCTTTTTAGATGAACTGGATCCATTCGCCCTCAGGCGCCTGAGCCTTGAGAGGATCGCAGCGAAATCTTCGTCCGACTCGGATGCATCAGGCTCGCTTTCCGAGTGGATGCTGCGGTCGCTGATATGCGCAGCTGTCTCCTTCCCCTTCCCCTTAGTCTTAGAGGAAGAGCTCTTGTGCTTCTTGACTTCGGGACCACTGTCTGTGTCCATTTCGCTATCGGATGAAGCAGAATCTGATGCTACTTGTCGCGTCTTGGACGACTTGGATTTTTTCCTGGTGTCGTCTTTTTTCTTCCCGTCCTTCTTCTTCGCAGCTGTCTCCTTCTCCTTCTCAATCTGCCTCTTGACATGGTCCAATTTGAAACAATCGGTGCAATACTTGCCGAAGCGTTTCGACGATTTGAAGAATGTTGGCTTGTTCTTTTTGCAGTTGGCGCAAACCAACTTGTCATCCTGCACGCTTCGCGCTTTGCCCGATTTACTCTTTCCCTTGTTCCCAACTGCATCAACCTCCATAGCATTCGGGTCCTTGGTTTCGGCCTTGGCATGGTGGCCTTCTCGTTGTAATGATGTAAATATTCGGAGTGCAAATGTAAGGAACTCGGTCCACTTCTTGGGCCAGTTGTCCTTGGTCGTGTCTGCCAGCATGAGCAGCCACGTTTTCTCCGGAATATGTTTCTTGATCTTTTCGATCAAATCTTGATCCGAGAAGCCTGTACCTGTTGCCTTTGGACGGAAGTCTTCTGCGAACTTCCGGAAGTCTCGATGATCCTTCTTGACGAAGGCTTCTAACTCCGTTCGCTTCTTGTCATCCTTGTCCAATGATTCGTATGCCGCGCGAAGTTCTGAGACGAACTCCGCCCAAGTTCCGGGTGCCTTGTTGTTTTCGTTTATTTCGGTGATCCAATGCCGCATGTATTCGCGTGCTCCTCCTTTCAGGAGCAAGAGGGTAGACATAATTTTGGACTCGTCTTTGGTATGTCCGGTATATTTCAACCAGAGCATTACTTGTTCGAGCCAATCATCGAGATTGACTCCGTCCTTATTGCCACCATATTTTTCTGGTTGGTCAATTTTTACGCCTTTACCCTTGCGACCAAACGATGGCTCATCGTCATCGTCCGTGTCGTCGACATTGGTACTGCCTTGCCCTGCTTTTCTTCCCTGAGTAGATGCCCATGCGCGAAGTCGATCGTGTGATTTCTTCAGGTCTTCCATCCTGGTTTGGAGATCCTTGACCTCATCGTCAAATGCCACAAGCGATTCGTTAATGGCCTTGTTATCCTCAGCTAAGGCTGCCGAGGTTTCCTCCAAGTCTGTGATTCGCGACTCAGATTGTTGACGATGCTGGTCTAAGAAGACCGTTCGATTGTGAAACTCTGTGGTGTTACGTTCCATTGTATGCGCTTGGCGCTGGATAAGATTTTCGTAATGCGCCACCGTTTGTTGACGCATCTCTTCCACCACGTTCGTGACGAGATCGACTACCCAATTCTTCACATTTTCGGGTATGTTCGCATTTGGGGGCGCCGTGTCGGCAAGGGCTTGACGAATGATAGGATTCGGGGGTTGCAAAACGATATTAAGACGTGCGGGAAGCTCCGGAGATGGAGCACGAGAGAAGCTTGGATCATTTGGGGTGGGGGTCGTCATTTTTACAATTCTTCCTCAATCTCTCGAAGGTGTTCTTCGAACTCGGCGATATGCCTATTGGTGATCGTGGCCTGTCGGGCAATTACTCGTCCTGAGCGTTGGTTTCGCAGCAGACAAAGGTCTCGATGGATGACCTTGACGAAGGGTTGCCACAAAAACCTGGTCTTGTCCCTGACTGCGGGCCACTGATGGTTATGATGGATTTCGCAAATGCGCTCGACTTCTTCGAGCCAATCGACGAAGCTATTGTAAGCTTCGGTGAGACGGTCTTCGGGTTCTTCGGACCTGATAGGGATATAGCAGATATGAACCGCGACGTTCCTCCAATCAAATTCTGGGTAAATTTGGAGGGCGTATATGTGATATACGTCGTGGTAATCGATGTCGAACGTGTCCTCGTATGTAGCAAACGCTTCGCCTGCTCTGTCTCGAAGAACACGTGGAATTGAATCCCAAAGATAATCAAAGGTGTGACCGATTGGATTTAACTGCTCGAAGTTATCAAGATTGTTCGAATCGCCAGATGAAGACATATACAAAGTGAATATTCGTATCTACAACAAAGGTCGCCCTGTGACCTGTATTCCTAAACGATACTTCTGGATAATATCTCTGATTATCCAGCGAGCTTCTCCGCCCTGATGCTTCCTTTCCTGGACGTAGTTGCAGAAGTGGCGAACTACGTGTTGGTGAACGAAGGAAAGCTTGAATTCCGCTATGTCAGTGCGGATGGATTCGAGCTTGAGTATGAGATGCTCGAGGTCGAAGATGTCGTGGTCGTCAAGCTGACGACGATATCGTTTGGTGAGTAGGATACGAATCTGTCGAAGAGTGCCTTCGACGCGCTGAGTCGAGATGATGGAGACGGCGAGAGGATAGATGAAATGAGACCTAGTAGCGGTCTTGACGTATGTCCCTTGATTGAGATCTGGACCAGATGGTCCTGCAGGTAGTCTCGGTCGCCTGACCGAGGGAGTCTGGATAATAGAAACTGAACTAGTGCCGCGAGGGGACCGACCTCCCATAGAGATGTGTCCTGGCCTTGGCAGGGGTCTTATGGGCCGCTGCTCGTAGAACTCTTCTGGAGTTCTCGCTCGAGGATGACGGATGACACCGTCGATGCTGCGCAATGCCTTGGTGTGGCTTACGCTGGTAGAGTCAGTGACTGATGGAACGTCAGGTGAAGATATGACACCGCTAACGTGCGGGTGGACGTGCGAAGACGCAACACTGCGGCGAGTACGCTGGGCAGGCACTCGAGGCAGGTAAGATAAGCAGACTTATTCTTCTATCACAAACTTAGGACGCAGCACGCCGACTAAGCCTATGACCTTATAATCAAACACTTACTGACTGTTGTCGAAGTAAGGATGGACACAAAGATGATCAATGGTAAAGCAGCGACTTGCAAGTG